CAGACCCGATTTTGTGGGGTAAGATCGACAGGAACACGTTGCTCTCCCCCATGCAATGTACACAACTCAACCTCGACAAGGATATCAACGAGAGATATCGGTGGTGTTGTACGTTGAGACTGGTCGCAAATGTGGCTGCAACTTTGGAGTCAGCAAGACGAACTGCATCCATACGTGAGCTTTCCGATCTTGAGATGGCAGACGATGAGCTCTTCGAAAGTAAGACGGAACTTGATGCGTTGCGGAGTCCGTTCCGACGGCAAGGTCGGCGTCGTCTAGAGTTAAGACTATTGGCATGAGCCTTGGCGGTGAACAACAAAGAGTAAAGTTACTCAACATAGTAACAAACCGTTGCCGAGTGTTCCGCTACGGTCGATTGATATGCAAGATGAGCGAATAAGCGATGTGGTGCTTTCTACCCCAGACATCTGTAGACCTGGAATTCATGGGGTACGTCGGCAGCCAGACCAGCCTGGGAGATCACGTGAGAACCGCGTGCCATAGCCAGCCCGTATGGTCTACACTAGAGACGAAAGGTTGAATTGGTGAGCAGTATGGAAGGCAGGCATGTCAACATCATGGTTTTCGATGCGATCCAGTTTAAAGCTGACGAGACATGTAAACCAAGCTGGGCACTTCCATAGTCCCCACTGCATAGCGGGAGCTGTCAAGGCTGACGGATGTTGTGTCCATTTGGAAACGGTCAAACGAATCATTCGCAAGTCGAGTACACGCTTTCTAGCTGGGAAAGCACGGCGCAGTGTGGAGGCCTTTCGTCACTTTGACATGATAACATCCGAAAGCTCCAGTGTCGGCGAAATTTCGCCGTGCAGAGATTGGTGGAGACTTCGCTATGGAGATCCCAGCCCTTCTCCTGTACTCCTAGTGCTGAGTGGCATTTGTGAATACCGGTTGTCCCGGTGGCGCAGAAGAGTCGAAGCGACGCAGGTCTCTGGGCAGGTCTTCAGGCAGGCAGAGGTAGACTTCGCATCTTGCGCGCGTCGTCAGATGTGGGCTGTGTTCAGTCATTTGCTGACGCATACTCGCAGAAGTACCACGATGGGCTTATGTCGGAAGGTCGATCGTTATTTCTGGTGTTCTGGTCCACCTTAGCTGCCCTCGGTCGTGGTCGGTTGGTGGATCGGTCGCGCGACGTTCGCTCCTAGGGTTCGTCTGAAGGGGTCTGGATGCTGAAGCTCCGCAGGGAGTACGCCTGTGCCATCAGGAACGGCGTGAGAAGATTTCGAGCCCTACGGCATGGAGGCGATGGTCATTGGACGCTGCGGCGAACGCGTCGTACGCAAAGGGGGTTTGGAGGTTGGGATGCTATCCTGTCGCGAGCTGGTTTTCGCGTTACGTCACTTGTGACTAATGCCCACTTAGCCTAGTGGCATCCGCGTTGGGCCGAGGACCCACTTGCCATCTCGGCTTCCGAGGCCTTCCATCAGGATACAGCACCACGACGATGCAGCCGTCCATCAAGTATCTTTGATAAAGCTGATGTGCACTCATTCAAAACTCGCTGAAACCTTCTGCCATCCCTGTGGATTCGCCCTCCAAAACTAACCTCATCGCTACTATACCAGCGCAGCCCCCAGCGCTTGCGAAATACCTAGGTACTACGGATGACAAGTAACTTAACAATGCCTCGCCAGACTTCTGCTCCAAGCATCTGAACGCTTAGGCACTCGCTCAACGATCGTCTCGCTGCTGCGAAGTTTGCACCTCGACCAGGCCCCGTGGGTGCAGTTCACCTGTAAGACAGGTAGTTGCAGATACGCGCCCACTGTTGCTCATGTGCGAACCTTTGGCAGCTCACGTACCGGGAGTGACCCGCTGCAATGATTCTGTCAGCATACAGATTTTGCGCAGTCGTGTGCATATCGAATGATGAAGAGTGAACCGATCGAGATGTACAGTCAGAGGAAGAGCTCAGTCTATGGCACTTCTAGAGTGACCGGAGGCTGCTGTTCAAACGTCGCCGCGTGTATGCGAGACCTTGTCAAACGCCAATGAGTTATGCTACCTTTATACGATGAAGTTCGCATGAGATCGCGCATCATCTTCCCCTCCAACTGTACCAAATTATCTTCGCATTTCGACACCCGATCAGCAACATTTTGATCAAACCAAAGGCATGCCATAATGATACGGTAGAATCACATAGCTCGCTAAGAAATGGCTCGATCATCTCCGCCGAACCATACTGGCATCAACGTAATGCGAGTGCTGGCTAAACGTACAAGCCGCCTCAACAGGGCAGACGATGTTTCCCCAGTTTTGGTGTTGACTGGGGTACCCAGGATCGTTGGTGAACGCGTGGAGACCTGCTAGGCTGGGATCATGCGGAGCAAGCTCTCGAGGTATCAAAACTGCGTAGGTAGCTGTATGGAGGGGGAAAATATAAACGGAAGAAATAGCGACTGCGACATAAACCGAGGATCGAGAGGTCGTGGTCATTTGTCGATGTTGATAAGTGTCAACCACTGAAAACAATGCCGTGGAGTAATCTTCGCACGCGTTGTTTGATTTTATATGCCACGACCCTACACGTGTCGTCTATTGCGAAGAAAGGTAACAGGGGTTCTGAAGGCATTCGATCACGCACGTTATAACGGCGAGATTGATTCAGGCTCCGCTCCCAGCAACGTCAGTTACACGAGCTTGCATTCTTTGCGATCCTTGACTAGCATGCTATATATTTGCGCATATCACACTGTCATCTTTGAAGTGATGATAGGATATACCACGAGAAGTGAAGCCGACATTACTTATGACACAGTGTGCGATACCACGCGTAGAAGATGGAAGAGCAGAGGTGAAGCTTGTATGTACACAACTCATTTGGTTGGCTTGTCCACGTCTCGTCGTTTTATTTCACAGAGCAATGATAGCTGCGTCGCAGACTTCACAGTGTGCGAAATATTGATAATCATGCGTTGTTCGACATCTAGCGACACTGCTAGAAACAATTTCCCAGCCGCTGCCTCTAACCCCCGATACATTGCAACGCATCGGTAGCAATCATGCAGGGCCTGTGTCGCAAAACTACAAGCACAAGATCTAGTCCGACTCGCAGCCCCGAACTCGCTTGTCAGAAAATGCACCAGGCGGACCAACATGTGCCTACAGACGATGGCGAGGGCTCTGACACGTCAATAGCAGAGCCTGAGGATAGCGAGCTGAGCGATTGGGATAGTCTCGAAATCGACGATATGGAGTACACAGACGAGGATCTAAAAGACTTTGGACGACCAGGACGACGGCGCCATGTCGGAGATCAAGATTCGACGATGTTCGGCAATATGCAGGAGGTGAGGCATACATGCAGCCAGAGGCGGAGATGCGTTGATGAAGATGGTCGGAGTGCAGGTGGCCGAGACAAAGTTAGTGAAGGAGATCGCCAACAACCAAGAAACGCTGTGGTAGCAATGACAATCCGACTAGAACGAGCAGGGATTGTTGCATTGTCTCACACAAGATCGCGGAGCACGTGTGGTGCATGTGGACGCAAACGACGCTGAACAAAGAGAAGTAGACCCTGAAGTCGGTAGTGAGGAGAAACCTTCGACGAAGCCGAGGAACACCATGCTTGCTTGAGGAACAGGTATCAACCTTGGAAAAACTGTGAAGCTGTAAAGTTAGCCGCCGCGAAATGACTGCAAATCCACTCCAATGATAAACTCAGAACAGATCAATACATTACGATCAATGCATCCCCTTCCAATGTGCATGTGCCAACAAACCCCAAACCTTGAATCCCCATCCCAAAGTTCACCTGCAACCCTCCCATCTCCGCCTTGCCATCCCCTCGATCGACGTTGGCCACCCCCCATTCCTTGCAGATCGTTCCCTCGTCATCGCGCGCTGGTGCACCAGAATCGTTCCTCGTCAACAAGTTCGCAGGGACGGAACTAATCCGTTTCCGTGTCTCATCGACCCGTTTACAGTTAGTGGAGACCGCTCCGCGTCGGGGGATATTTTGGAAATCAGCCACTGGACTGGGAAAATCTGCGCACGGTGCGAGAGCGATCATGATGGAAGACGTTTCCGTTTGTGGGTTCATCGGATTGGCGAGGTCGTTGTTACCCGCATTGCGATCGTGGGCACGGGTGGGAAATCAGAAAGCTGGGCCGCAAGGCGAACAGCACTCCTCTCGATACTCGTAGATCCTTTGCATGTTGAGATGGAAAATGTGATACACGCGCATGGCGGCCTCAGCCCCCCATAACCCACAGACTGCCAAAGGGATGAAGATCTGGAGAAATAAAGTTACGCATGACATCACACCTGCTAGCTCAAGTCCCTTGCGCCCGCATACAGTCTAGCGCTCGCTTCTAGCCGGCGATCTGAACTGCCCCCTCCCCGACGCCAGATCTACAGCATCACGAACACCCAGCCATTCACACTGCAGGGGCCGTCGCATCATGCACCGACGCCCTCCCCCCAGAATCGGGGATAAGGGTTTCAACGCAGGGATTACTGATTTACCGACCTGCGTGGCTTGAACGTGCTGAACACCGTGATCGTGGCCCTCGCGCAGTAATCGCAAAGATGTGAGACGGTGCGTGCTGCGTTATTGGAACGCCCGTAACGCCATCAACGCCATAACGCCATCACGGGTGAACCGTCAGTCTCACTGTACTTCTACCCAAGTACGGCCCCCGGGCTACGTCAGTACGCCCCCCGCCCGAGCGCCCGCACGACTATTATGGCGTCGGGGCTTGGAGAAAGGACGTCAATGTCTGTTAAGGAAAGGCTGGGTGGTTTTCTTTAGTTTGGTTTTTGGGTTTTAACTCTCAGCGCCGGGGGGGGCTGCACAACCTTGGAAATCCTCTTTTGCTATCCAGTTCTTGTCTTCTCTGTCTGTGTCTGTCAGCCTTTTGGGCATCTTGTTTTTGGATTTGCGTAGCGTATAGCTCGCTGTTTTGGTATACCAGTACCACTACTTACTTACTATCTCGAGCCTGTCACCTTGTTTAACAGTCTAGGCTGGCGAAATGGCGCTCAAGAATATCTTACCGTTACACAAGAAGGAGTCGGTATCGCGGCTTCAGGGCACTCCTCACAGTCATGCCCATCATATCCACCGTCCTCAAAAGGCAAAGAGCTTCATGCCTAACAAGTGGCGCAATGAGCTCGTTGCCGCTGCAGCAGAGTTCGCCGGCACCTTCATGTTTCTGTTCTTTGCGTTTGGAGGAACGAGTGTAGCCAACACTGCGGCGACATACAGCAATCGAGTTACTTCTGGACAAGACAACAACAGTATCACGCAGGCGCCGGATACAAGTGTTCTGCTGTACATCAGTTTGATCTTCGGCTTCAGTTTGATGGTAAATGTCTGGGTATTCTTCAGAGTGAGCGGAGGACTCTTCAACCCTGCCGTAAGCCAGCCTCCCTAAAAGCGTACGGATCATACCTAACAACACCCACAGGTAACACTCGGCCTCTGGCTCATCGGCGCCGTCCCAACCATCCGAGCATGCCTCTGCTTCGTCTCGCAAATGCTCGCCGGCATGGCCGCCGCGGGCGTAATCCAAGCCATCATCCCGGGCCCTCTCAACGTCTCCACCACCCTCGGCGCAGGCGTCTCCGCCGCCCGCGGCGTCTTCCTCGAAATGTTCCTCACCTCCCTCCTCGTCTTCACCATTTTCATGCTCGCAGCCGAGAAGCACAAAGCCACCTTCCTCGCCCCAATCGGCATCGGCCTAGCCCTTTTCGTCGCAGAAATGGTCGGCGTGTTCTTCACGGGTGGCAGCCTGAACCCTGCGAGGAGCTTTGGGCCCTGCGTCGTTACGCACAACTTCCCGGGGTACCATTACATTTACTGGTTCGGGCCGCTGATGGGTACGCTGTTGGCGTTTGGCATGTATCGTATTGTTAAGCTGGTGGAGTACGAGACTGTTAATCCGGGGCAGGACTTTGACGACCATGAGGCTGCGTTGTTTAATCCCCCTGAGGACCCGGAGCATGCGGGGCAGGTTGAACGGCCGAATGTTGCGGCTCATGCTATGGCGGATGCGATTCGCAGGACTAACTCTAACTTTGGGGGCGAAGCCCAGTTTGGCATTGATTCGATGCTGGAGAGTAAGGATGACGAGAAGTCCACACCACCAAGGTCTCCACAGAAGGAACAGGAGTTGTTAGAACGAACCGGTCATGCACCAGCTGCCAACGGCGAACGCCACGAGTGCTGTTAGCCCTCATCTCTCATACGACATCCAGTGTGTCCGTCGTGGTAGCAACATCTTTCCATATCCATTCTAGCGTTTATAGCGGGTGCGGGTCTTCATTTACAAGCAATAGCGAATCTCATTATTACACTTATGCTGCGCATAAGCATAACCTCATCTCTCCGCCTTGCATGATGCCGCGACGTGCTTCTCCTAATCGGGCTTCGGTCTTGTATACGAGGAACCAGGCTAGACAGTGTGCGATTAGGATTGCGAAGAGTAGGATGAAGAGCAGGAAGGCTAGGATGGCGATGCATATCCAGAGGGTGGACATGGCGCTGGGTTTGCGCTTGCTTTTCGGCTTTTGGGGTGGGGGGTCTGGAGGGGTGTCGTAGGTAACGTCCTGCGGGGCTCGAGAAGACGTGTGTGTTGGTCGGGGAGTGGCTTCGCGATTCGGTTCGGGTATCTCGTTGTTCGGCGCTTGGTCGTACATGTATCCGCCATCCCCATCCGGAGGAAACAATCGAATCGCCACACCCTTCGCTTCCATCTCCCTCCCCGTTTTCTTCGGCGGCGAACTCCGTACATCAAACCCCTCACTCCCCGTTCCCAGTCTGTTTCCCATCCCGAATCCCCTCCGTCCCATGCCCATCCCCCTCACCGGCGGATCCCAAGGTTTCCTCCCCGCCTCCCTCCCATCCTCCCTCTCCTTCCCCTTCCCACTCCCCTCCACTTTCCCTACCGTCTTCGGCTGTCGATGGATCTCCTCTGACCCCGTTCCCGTCTCCCCTCCCTCGTCCTCCTGTCCCTCCTCTGATCTGGCTCCACTATCCGCACCGTCCGTCGCTTGCCTTCCCCCTTGTTGTTCTTGACTTCGCGGCGTTGGGGCTGGCCTTCGCGGTCGTAGGCGCCGTCGTAGGGATGGTGGCCGTTGGTGTATCGTGGATCGGTTTTCTGCAGGGTCTGAGCGGAGGCGTTGGAGTTGGGAGTACAAGCGGGAGGGTTGGAGATGAGGGAATAGGCGGGGGAGTTGTACCGAGAGGATTGGGAGACAGATTGCTAGGAGGCAGGCTAGGAAGAGGATGCTCATTGCTACCAAAACTGGGGGCGGCGCGGGCGGTAGGTTGGTGTGAGTCTGGTGTGTGTGTGTGGGCGCGCGTAGGTGTGTGGTTCGTTGTGTAGACAGTTGTCGTGAGGAGGTGTAGTGTAGATTGTTTAGGTTTCGTGTAGTGATAACTCAGAGGGCGTCGGGGTGAAAGAGATATGTCGCTCGATATAATTTGAGGTGAGGTGAGATAGTCCACACGTGAGGTTTGTGACGTCCTTGCCCTTGAAGACGGGGCCACGTGCTGTGGTGGCTCGCGACTGCCATATCGCAGCCTCGATGCGTCTGGCATTTTTCCCCAAAAACTCGAGCTTCCTTAAGCGCGTCTCAGCTCTCCAACTCACCCCAGTCTCTCTCATCTTGCCATCCAAAACTCTTGCATACTCGCGTAGAACCCGATATAAGTATATCAGCACGACCTCGGGTCCCAACACCTCCCCAGTTCGCATCAGTAGCCTTCCGCGCCATGTCAACATGATCATCGTCTTCGTGCTTAGCTGCCTAGCGATCGCTTCATGCGCGTGTTCTTGATCATATGGCTCGCTTCCGGCCTGTGAACCACGCTAGGCAACCACTGGCAGTGACCCCTTCTCGTCTTCCACGTGGCACGCACTACATTCTCCCTAGGTCGGGATGAGCATCTTCATCGGCTACTTAGCAAATCGAGGATCAGAAATGTCTGAGATATAGACATGTAGATGTCGCGGGTTGTGTCTGCGCATGCGGCCGGGTAAATGCTATGGCATAGTCGGGAAGTGTTTCATGTGCGTTGCGATGGGCAGGTGGGAGAGCTGAGGGGATGCCATTGTGCCGGTCGTGCGAGGGAAGTGTTTGGCTAAACCGAGGTAGAGTGTAGAGTACAGTGTCGTAGCTGGAGTGCATTGGGTGCAATGAGAGGGTCGTCGTATTGTTCTTGGCGGAGTGCAGCATCTCGATCACGCGACCGTGAAGGGAATGTGATACTGGCATGGGTATACGAAGTAGTACAATGTTAGTCTACCACACCGACTTCCATTACTCTATATACGGCGCTCTTGAAGGATGAGTTCTAGTCTTCCATCTTGTCATCGTCCGCTTCATCGTATTCGACTTCCGCTGTATCGCCCTCTTCATACCCACCACCCTCACCATCCTCGTCTTCACTGTCCGACCCAGAGCCTTCGCTCTCGCCCTCACTCCCAGGATCAAAGTCATCATCCTCTTCCTCGTCGTCTTCTTGATCCTGCAACTCCCTCTCTGCCTTCTGCAATTCGCTCTCTTCCTCCTCACCACCAGCCTCTTCCACCGCAGCGCCGTTCTCCTTCTTGCCACCCACCTTATTCACATTGAGCTTCTTTGCGCGTCGGTCCGCGGCCAGACTGGCATCCTGCAAGCCGTGTTTCTGGACGTATTCGTTTATGCCGGCGAAATCTGCTTGATCGAGCATGCTGAATTCGATGTCCCCGCTGTTGGGCGTGGTGAAGACGACGTTGAAGGTGTTGCGCAGTACGTTGGTGTAGGATATGCTCTCTATAGAGGCGAAGTCGAAGAAGGCGAGGGGCTTTTTGAAGCCGTAGAGGATGCCTACCGAGGTGAAGAATAGGTAGCCTGGAGTGTGTTAGCTGAGGTTCGATTGTGAGATTTGCGTGCAACGTACCCTCCTTGCTTCCCCTATGCGCCTTGACGTGATATGCCTTCTCGCCCTTCCTGTGGCTTTCTGGTACTGCGCTCGCAAACTCGTCGGCGTCAGGGAAGATGACCTCCTTTCCGGTGCCTGCTTGTATTAAGCAATGGTGTATCGCCTCAGCCATGGGTGTTGGCCCTGGGTCTTCGCCTTCAACGATGTTCTTCCCTGTCGCCTCCTCGAAGGTCCATACAATTGGCTCTGGGGGTGAGCCCTTCATTTCTTCTGGCAAAGGCGCCACTCCATCGCCGTGCACTGGTATAATGACGAAATGATGCTGCTTCTTCGCCTTCTCGGGTATAGGCAGGCAGAAGACCTGGTCGACGTCCTTCCACGCGATGGCAAACTCGACATTGCCGTTTGCGCCAATGGCTCTTATGCCGCCATCCTTCTTGTCAAGTAGCTCGAGGGTGAACTTCTTCCGCTGTGGTATCGCGACACTGACGGCTGGGTAGGTCTTGAATGCTTTCGTTGAAGTGCTCGTGAGACTGCCTCCTGTTTTTGATGCGCCGTTTTGTGGGGCAACGCTCTCTTCGATCTTGCGCTTCTTTGTCGCTGGCTCAGCGGCGGGTTGCGAGGCTTGATTGAGGATGTATGTCGAAATGTCGCGGAAAAGAGTACTTTGTGTTGGGTTTTGATCTTCGGGCATGTTAGCATGAATCGACTTTAAGAATGGTGTCGCATACCTATCGCGGCGTGCACGCGCTTGCGCAGCTCGTGATTGCTAGCGAAAGCGACATCAATTTCCTGTGGATGGGGAACGGGCGTCGGTGCTGCTGCCGGCGCAGGGGCAGGCGCTGATGGTGCAGGTGGTGCAGGTGCTTGCACGGGTACAATGGGTGCCGATGGCTTGTTGTTGAGCGCTGTAAAAGCCATGGTGGGTTGTAGAGGGAACTTGTTGTTGGTTGAAATGTCTCGTGGACGCGTCGACGGCTGATCGCGACTCCTCGACATTTAGCGCCCAGGGTCTGACATCACCGCCGCTCGCCATCCTTCACCACTGCCACCTCACTCTCCTCTTCACCATCCGCATCTACGGCTGACTAACCACTCTGCTTTCACATGCTGTATGCGCAATACACAATGCACCGATGTCATGTGTCGAATGTGTCCGCCTGCTCGCCAGAGCGTCGCCCTCGACCGAAACCCTCCATGGGCTCTTCCGCTATAGCCTACAGTTTGTACCGTCTCATCTGCCTGGCGATTACTGAACTCGTGGACAATAATAGATACAGGACGCGTCTTCTCGATGCAAATCGTTATGCGGAGGATCGACATAGCGTGCTGGGTATTCCATGCGTGTTCCATGCGAACCATGGACAGATCAACCTCTATCGACTTTGATATCTTGTCAACACCCGCTTCAATCGCCATGAAAACTACGCGAATACCCAAGCGATATCTCTAACACATAATAGCCGGTATTATTGCGACGTGCGAGAACCATCATCGGTGCAGCGGGTGGAGCGTGCGCGTTGCGCATCTCACACACTTCCCGTCGCGACCCATCATGACGACCAATACACGATGAACCGACCGTTTGACACCTGTCAGTTGCATTGCGATTCATCTACAACAGGCCGGAAATGTACTGGACCGTTCAAGCGAATCCTTGACAGCTGCCACGAAGCAGCCCTATGCCGGTAGGATAGCATTGACAGGCCGATATTCTCTCAGCCGACATCATAATCATAGGTAGGAGTAGATGCGGTACGGGCGACTATCCAAGCATTCGTCTCTTGGGACGAATGTCTCGGCGGTGAGCAGATGTTATGTTAATCTTCTGTCTTCTTGACATCAGTCAATTAACGCCTAATACTCTCGCTCGTAGCATACTTACCTTTCTCCACTTCGTCCTTCTGTGAAGGGTAGAAACGGGATTACCGCCAAGATGACGAAAGTCAAATTCACCCTCCCACCGGCAGCCGACAAGGTCACATCGCTCTTCCACACCAAGCACATCAAGGAGGATGATCCACCAGTCTTCAACCAGCCGCTCAATACCAGCTCATGTCCGCACCACCGTATAGCGAGGCTGCTGTACAGCGTCTCCCTCTCAATACTACTCATCATCGCAGTCCCGGTCATTGCCCTCAAGGCATTAACCTATAGCTTCATCGAGGACAATCGCATGACGGGATTTGAATACCAGACGACAAGAAGGAATGGCGACCCCGGCGAGTCCATCATCATGGCCGCTCTACCTCGGATGTTGTACGCAGTACCAGCAAAACTAGCCATCATCGCCGGCACCGTCAGCATATGTCTAGCCGCCGCACATCTTGGATTCGTCGCAACAGATTGGAAAAAGGGCAACAGGGTACGTCTGATCCCACGCAAGACGAAAGATGAGATCCAACTAATGCCTCTCCAGACGCAATCATACGCCTTCCGTCGCAACATAATGTTCCTCCACATCACCAACGCCATCCTCATCCTCTTCGCCCTCGTCTCCATCTACGTAACCCACAAAAACACCTCCCACTTCCGCGAAGGCTTCGTCAACTTCCGCGCCTCGCGCATGAACGACACTACCTCCACCTCCACCTCCACCCAACAATCCCCGTCCTTCTTCCGCTACAACTTCGGTACCTTTGATCTCGAAACCTGGGCTTGCGAGCTCGCGGGTGTTGAAGGTGCTGGTATGGTCAGGGAAGACTACGGCATGCAATGTGGGATTGAGATCGCTGGAAGGGCGGTCATGGTGCCTTTTGTGGTTGTCGCATGGGGGGTTGCGGCGATTGGGCTTTGGGGGTTCGTGGGGGGTGGACGGAGGGGCCCGGATGGGGAGAGGATGAAGACTGATGAGGTGGGATTGGAGATGGGGAAGATGAATGCTACGGATGATTGAGCGTCATTCCATCCTCTCTTACGACTCTGAGGGTATGGCGGCGTCTGGTCATTCTCGGCATTTTCTGGCGTTCTGGTATGTTCGCATCTTTCTCGGTAATGTTTTCTTCTTCTTTTCCTTACCTCGCGCATACACGACAGCGATGATACCCTCTATTCACTTTTCACCTCTTGTTATAACTTCGCGCTGAGCCCTTTTGCTGGTCAAAGGTCCCATCTCTTCTTTTCCCGGTTGTTTGGATCAAACGTCGCCAAGTGCTGGGGCGTTTCATATTTTATCTTATTGCATGGCATGGCATGGCATGGCATAATGATCATTTTGATATACACCACCACTTCATCTTATTGTTACCTTGCGCGAGATCTTTTCGACTAGAGTGGTTGGCTGTGCCTCATCTGGCTCGCTTGGAGAGATATGGGAGAACCTTTTGTCGCACTCATTCCTCACGCGATTTGCTCGACCTGTCAGCCGACTGAATAAAGACTAGGTGGCAACTTCTTTTCTTAAGTTGGCGCTATTGCTCATTCGATGAGAATTGAGCAGATGGGTGTGGTGTGGAATTCGGGAGTCGTGAGTGGCTCCTCGGCGATGGCTCATTGATACCTTGCGCTGAAGGCTTCCATCACACTCCACCGCGATGCTGTCTTCCAATCACCATCAGAACACCACAGCGTGTACGCTCATCATGTTTTCAAAGCAGATACAGGACAAACTCGATTGATTTGGAAAAGAGATCAGTATCAAGAGTAAGTAGACAAACCCACGCCACACTCCGTCCCAGTCCAGTACTCCGTCCCAGTCCCAGACTCCTACCCACGCGAAAAGCAGTGTACCCAAGCTCTCCCCATTAACAGAGAACCATAGAGTACCGATGAAAGAAGAACGCCATTATCAAACCCTTCCGCCCATGTCAACCTAGGAAAACCCCGAACAAGTCTGCAGCCTACATCAACATGTAAGCATGCAAAGTAGGTGACCCAACGTCGATGTAGACTCCCGGCCCATTCAGCAGCCGTCAACTCCGAGCTCCACCCGCCACATCCCAGAGATCTCACTCCATACCCGCCGCCGCATACGTAGCGATCGAAGCGTAACTACCCGTCAAAAGCACTGCCGTCTCAGTAGGCGTACCAAGACTCGGCATCTCAACGGATATCTCTCGCCCGTTGACCCACACATCATCGGTGAACATCTTGGTCACCACATTGCCAGTCCCACTTGCAGCCGCACTTCCACCTCCACCTCCACCTCCGGCTCCGGTCGGCGTACCAGCTAAAGAACTCAACGGGTTAGCTGTCTGGCTCATGCGGCCCTTGATCGTGGTCGTTCTCGTAGCGACAGGTCCTGGGAAGCAATGGATGCCGTGTTGGCCGTTCTTGCCATTTCCGCCGCACACACATGATTGTCGTTTGTCGTGCATCTTGAGCCATGCTTTGAAGGCTTTCATGGCTTCGTTGTCGGGTTTCTTCTTGTCTTGGGTGTCGGGGGAGGTGCCGTTACCTGGAGCGTTGATATCGTCGGGGGTCTTGTCGTTGCCTGGGTTCGTGCCGTCGGTCGAGGTCTTGTCGTTGCCTGGGGTTGTACCGTTGCCTTTGGGGTTCTCCTGGATGAAGTCCTCATACTCGTCATCGTCCGGACCGACCTCTTCTCGGTCCCATTCCGCGTCTTCCTTCGCCTTGGCCTCTTCATCATCTTCATCATCATCGATGACATCGCAGATGTCATGGGCGGATTGCTCAACGCACTTGTTGTCGCCGGGATCGCAGCCGTACTCGCCTTTTCGGACAGAGGAGTCGATGGTGTAGTTGAAGTGTGATTCCTGGATCTCGTAAACGACATCCACGATACAGTACGGCCCGTTGCATGCGCCTTGCGACGTTATGTTCTTGGGCGTGTTCTTCGGATAGCGTGTTTCTTCGTGAAGTCGTTGCGTGGTAACTTGCATGATGGGCTCTCGAGTGGGTGTTGGAGCCTGCGTTGGTTCGCAACCTGGTGGTACAGATGATGAGCTTGTCGAGTTCGATTTAGGCTGAGTAAGCTGTTTGGGTCCCAGCGGATGCGATTTGTGATGGTTGGGGTCACAGCCGCCAAACCAGGCTTTCTTCATATGCTTCGGTGGTTTCTCCTCGTCGTCAACTTCTAGCAATGCCTTCCAACTAGTGTCCATTCTTTCACAGTCGTGGCACTTCTTGCCGAAGTTGTCGAAGTTGTACAAGCCGCTGTCTTTGATGAAGTGCTTGGTGGCTGCCATTGTCCAGTTGGTGGGTGCAGCCCACGACGCTGCATATGTGTGGTTCATGGGATCGCATTGGCAAGGCGCGTTCTGGTTGTCCGTGCTGCCGGTGCTAGAGATGGCTTCGCCGAGCCAGCTGTAACATACTGCAATGTCGAAGCCGTCGGGCGCGTTTCCGTAATCATCCAGATACTTCACCTGGCCTGGAAACTGGGTAGAGTTTGAGCCTGATGAACTCGTCATATTCGCGTCCGGTGGTCCTTGGCCATCCAGATTCACCGGTTCCGGGGCAGTCACATTCTGCATCTGATCGTTGTTGACTGATGGGCAAGATGCTGAACCTGTGGAGTTCCTGTCGTGTTCCTCCTTCCTACGGTTGGGCCAATAGACCTCGTCTTTCCAAAGAGCAGCTCGGACCACGTCGCTAGCGAAGAGTCCGTGGAAGCCTTCTTCACTGGTAAGATACTCCCACCCGGGTGGACTACGCGTCTTTTTATCCTTGTAGTTCGTCATTGCGTACACCCAGTACGACCTGTCAGGGCGTTCATCAAGACAGATCTTGTTCTCGGCTGGTCCACGGTCGTCTTGGTCGCAGTTGCCGCCTTCTTTAGCCCAGCTCGCGACGACATATACGCCTTCCGTTTTCCACAGAGCGCTTATGATAGTTGCGTAAGACTTCATTCCGATCACGTAGTCGACATAGGCTCGGAAGTGGACGTTGGCGCCGTGGAAGAAATCCTTGGCGAAGAGATCGATGAGATCGTGGCCATTACGACTCTTGAAGCCTAGCGCAAGGATTCGCATTCCATCCCGGGCTTCGTCGATGGCGTTGGAATCGATATCGGCAAGTGCTGCACGCACGGCTTCTAGGGTTTTGTCATACCCTTTCCTTCTTTATGTTAGCACTTGCGTCGTCAAACGTACAGTCTGCGCAGCTTACAAATCCTTCTTGTGGTCAATCTTTTTGACCACCTCTTTGGTCAAAGCTTGCGAACCTAGCCAGCCCCCACTGGTGATGGTCCATAACTCTACTTCGTGTTAGTTCAATCTTTTGCTTTCGAAGCTATAACTTACTCTGAAAGTTCTCGATCGATTTTGGCATAAGCAGGCCATATGGCTCCCCAGGTGTACCATCATCGTGCGGTTTCGGCATCCTCCGACTTGCGAAATATTTGAACCCCGTATATTTCGAGACGCTTGGCCATCTTTTGGCGGTCCATGCTAAGCCCCGCTGCCACCTCGTAGCCAGTCTGTTGAGCCTAGAGAAGCCGTAAATCCAATTTGTGATTACATCGGGTCTGTAGTTCAACATGTTGGCGCCTGTGGTAAATAGTTGAAAGACGGCTGTAATAATTCCGAAGGCCAACTCCATGGCGGCTAGTGCCTTCTTCTTCTTCTCGTCCTTCTTGACCGCGGCGTCTTGTTGTTCGTCTGCATACGTGAACCACCTCGTGAGGGCATCGATGTCTTCGAGAATGTGCCTGTAATGGTCCTGGATGGCTTCGTGGGTGATGTGGAAGGAATGGTCGAGACCTGAGACGAACTCGAAGAACAACATGACTGCGCGTTGTTTCGCAAGACTGTGCTTTGCACCAATGTCCTTGCAGCTTGGAGACTGTTCATGGCGTTAGCGTGAGCTGGATTGCAAATTGAATGTAGACTGCTTACTGTGCACATACCCGCGCCATCACAGAGCATGCTACTGGGTGGTAGGTTCGGAGCGTAGCGTTTCGCCAGGAAGGCAGGAAAAGTGATCTCGTCATCCGCAAGTCTCCGCCAATTCTTCTGCAGAGTCTTATACTCCTTCATGCGACTCCTCAAGAAGGCACTGTCATGATATCGATGTTCTTCCCACAGTTCTTCGGTGATCCTTGGTAGGTGTGGGCAATCGTTCTTCCAAACGTACTCATTGGGTCCCTTGTACTTGCAATAGGGATTAACAGTACATTCAGTGTCAAAGTAATCTCCGTCCAGTACTGGATTCTGCGAGGTTGCATTCGAAGTGAGATTCTTTGCGGTCGCATTCAACCGAATGACGCTTGCAGATGCTCGAACAACGTCGAAGATGTGGAAGGCGGCGTAGATCCACGCGTAGAGTCGCATACTAACGGGGGTATGATTGTACTTCAAGAATTGGAAAGGTGTTGTTTGGTGATGAAGGGAACTGCGACCAGTGTAGACAAAGTATAGCTCTTAGTACTCTTGTGAGAGCAAGATCGGATGCAACGCTCGGTAACAACGATCGCCAGTATCACACATGGCAAATCTCTCAACTAAGGGTATTCTCTAATCTCATGTCACAGATCACTACGACTTTCGTTCGGCCATGGGCTACCGTCGCCCATACTCAGACATGGCTTCTTTCTCGAAGCTCTGTGTGGTCAGAGTGAGCAGGGACATGACTTTCGAACACGTGAATTGCATGTCCCCCGCCGAGATCTGTACGTCACATTGACTACTGTAAGACATAGGAAATCCATGGGGCGAACGTACGATGGGGTAGCTAGCTTGCCGTGACATGACAAGATGTCACCCAACCCAGAGCTGCTAGTGTGTATTGCGAAGTTCATCCACTCTTTTTGACTGATAACTGGATTATGAACCAATAGTTTACCCACATTTCTGAGTTCTGTGCCATCTATGATGGGAACGCAAAAAGATAACTCTCGCCCTGACGTGTTTGGCTTCTCAGGGTACACAAGTCCTTACACGTTCAAATTATCTCAATCGCTGTTCCAAGGTTGTTGAATAACCCTGAACAGCGGAATCTACAACTCCGGCACTGTCATGGACTGCAGTACTTCAATGTGGCGCTGGATTGATGTACAGCAAAACCTCAGAAGCATGATTGTGCGATCTGTCCGCTGTCTTGTGACGGTCTCCGGCCTCATCACGGACGCAAGGTTAAGAAACGCAGTAAAGTTACAAGTCCACCGGCTAGACGTGTCATAATTGTGGCTTTCATACCTAGGTAACTGCTTCAATCGCTCGTTGTGGACACTTCCCTGCTTTTGCATTGATGCAATAACCCGTATCTTGTTGAGGTCAATCGGTCATCCGAACGGAGATTGTTTGACTTCTTCAATACATCACGACAACAAAGACCCTGATCGGTATCGGACAACAGAACACATGGTTTCATTCGCAGATTATTACCAGTAGAATGCTCGGGGTCGAACATACTGGACCCGCGACCAAAAGAATGCGAACCCGTGCTTGACCTCAGTGGCTGACATGCGTCTTCGAAGAAATTGTTGGGAAAGACGTTGACCGGTGAACACGGAGCAGTTCATGGTTATGAGCAGTACATGTCTATCCGACCCGTGTTCGTACCTCAAGGGCCGCGAAATGGGATCTCTAGGTGTGGAACGCACCACGTATATAAAGCGAAGATAGTCTGGCCATGAGTGATTTCCGCATCACACACTTCCCATTCGATCTTCTACACACTCCACCATCTCAACAGTTTCCAGCCCCTGATAACATTCCACCATCTCCACCACTTCTGACATCTGCACCGAAGTCTCAGCAATATCACTTGCGTACCTTACGATGATCCCAACACACTTCCTTGCAGTGGCGTTTGGTAGCCTTGTCGCTACCGCCGCCATCATTCCGATTGCACCCACGACGGCAAGTGAGGTATGTCTCCAAACCTCACTCTATGGTTGTCCCAATCTGACTTATCCTCCAGCACCCTGCTATCGCTGCAGCCAACGTCATCAGCTCCACGATCGCTTCTTCTCCACGGCAGATCGTCCAACGCGGTTCTAAGGATGATGAAGAGACAGACCTGGACAACCTCGCTGATCACACCTTCATCGTTGGCTCTCAGGACCCGCGCCCCGCGGATAAGAAGTACAGCGAGTACCCTTTGCTCCAGAAGCTCCAGGAGTGCAACAGGAGACTTGGCTCTGACCCTGCGATGATCGAGGGCCAATCACTGATTGGCAACACCACCCTCCTGGAAGTCCGCTACTCACAGTGCAACCGCGCTCTTTTGGACTGTGCTACAACCGCTATGACCGAGGCAGACGCACTTCTGAACGGATGGCCTGGTTGGGACGACGAGGCCAGGCCTGTCCTCAGAACCCACTCGCTCCAAATCTGCACCAACCGGTGCGTTCGAACGGGTGCCATGGACAACCGCATCGTTTCCGAAAATTCTGGCATGACCAGGGATCAATTCAAGAAGCTTGGGACGGTTGCATTTTGCAACGTCGAAGTCATCAAATGCTTCGAAACTTGTGAGGTTGCATACGACGGGGTTATGGGGGTATGGAACGCGCGCAACCCCGATGAGTGAGCCATTGGTTCAGCTCTATCCCTGGCTGCTTTGGCGATATCTCGGCCTGGGAAGCTCTCTTGCGGTGAAAGAGGGCGGCTTTGAGACGGTTTGATTGTACTTCTGCTCCTTCTCTATCTGACTTTACTTGTATTCATTACATAGCTCTTGTTGTTTGTAGTCAATATACCCCACGCTCATTCAAAATCAGCTTTGCCTTGCATGCTTGATCCACTTCGCGTACCTCGTGGTAGCACCTCATTCAAGGAAAATCCGAACACCCTGGAGCCTACGTTAACGCTAGATCACTAGCTTTGTCTGTTTCTGGGTTGATGTAGGCTGCAGAAGCGCGGATGATTAACCTCAACCTCAAAACTACGTTGACATCAACTACCAAATCGTCGACCCAAACACTGGTTCAGCATCTCGGGTCGATCTCCAGGCTCTGGTATCTGATGCGCCGTCTCTATTACAGATCCTAGGTCATGACCCGCGGTCCGCTGATCTTGACGTAGCTGCTACACCTCAACGAGCAACGAGTAGACTCCACACTGCGTCAGTATCATGCCGCGACATGAAGGCTTGCGGTTATGTTGCGACATAGCTTGCTGTCCCGACCACATCAGCGTATGAACAATCCGAACAGGCCTGGAGCCTACATCGACATTGTATCACCTACTTTGCATGTTTCCATGATGATGTAGGCCCCAGACCCGTTCAGTGTTTTTCTTGTACGAGGTCCGATTCTGCTTTTGCAGATCCGTCCTGCCATCCTTGGTTCAGGGGCGCCATTTGCTTTTGCGGTCGCCTCCACTCTTCCCCTGTTGAGCAACAATGCACCCCGCAAACTGACAAAAGACCAGCGAAGCTAGAAGCCTCTGAAACCGTACCTGCATCCCAAGATGGCTATGCATGCTATCCGCCGCGGGAAAGGCTTGCTTGCCTCAAGTGGGCCCCCTGAGGAGATCATGGCGATCACCCGCATTGAGGTGTCGCATCCAGAACGCCTTTATCATGATTGTAGGGGCTCTGCTGTTGCGCAGGGCTGGCTGGGTGTGTGAGGGTCGCGCGGGATCGGGATGTGATGAGCGGTCATGACGATGTGTTGAGCTGCGATGTCGGGCCGGCGACTGACCTTGATATGCTATCAATTTCTCATGACTATAGCATGATGCAGATGCGGATCGCGACGTCTTTGTACTTGCAGCCGAGGGCCTCCCGCAACGAATGCATAACTCGGTTTGTTGTGACGGGACAAGCAAGTGGCGAGGCGACGATATGCCATTCACATGATGCGTATTTCTGAGCACGTCAGCGATCCCGTCACGCTAGAGCTAAGGCCCACTTGCTTTTCCGTCCTCTTCTCATCGCCAACATCCTCCACCAGCTTTTCTGAGTGCCTGAGACGTCACTCCGCGTCATGCTCCATCATCTGCATCAAATTCACTTTGGAAAGAAATGCTCACAGCCCTCTGACATGTTGCCTGATGTGTCTCGGCAGAACTCAATGATCTCGCACCGCCGGTCGGCTCCCCAGCGTAATCACCGACCTGATATGGCTGACTTTGCATAACATTGCACACAACACGAGGGTCGCTGCAATGCACACATGCAGCATGATGAAGCTACCCACCTCTGACAGCTCAGGGTCTACCCGGTACATATTAATAGACGCCATCGGACGCGCACGAAAAGCTCTGTGGCGTGAAGCCAAGTTGTGCAACATCGGTGGTTTTGAAACTGGCGCGCCGATGCTTTTGATGGCTGTGGGTGGTGTGGGAGAAGCATGTCGCATTCGCCAGAGGTAATCGCCGTCTGACTGCACCGTTGCGCCTCATGGTCGTGCTGCGGATGCGACTGCGGAATATTTCTTGGTCTGTTAGATGTGTTACTGAGATGTGCTTCTTGTTTGGACTGTTCATGCAACGTTCATGCAAAGAATCGACGTCTGTCTATGACTATATTACTCTTCACCCCTATAGCTCATATCCGTATATCTCTGCATATTGTTACCGTCTCGTTTCTTTGGACCTCTCGTACGTTCGGCTGCAAGCAACAAATCGGGCTTCAGCGCACGCACCCAATATATCCGGATTGATACCTAAGGCTTACTCTCGACACTGGGAACATCATGGCGGCGCCTCCTCCGTCTATATCGAAGTACCGAGGGGCACGCCCCGCCGCGCTATCCATCATTGGATCTATATCATCACGCCCATCTACACAAGCTACACAATCCACACATGAGCTCAGATGGCACGCTCGCACCAACTCGGAAGAGCGCAGCTTGATCTCTGATATTCTCCAAGATCTGGCTGACAACTGCGAGACTGCTTTCGATCGAGCAACCGACCAAGCGCGGTTAGGCACGGCCTCATATATCTCTTACAACGCACAAGGACAAGACCTCGCCAAAGATCTCGCCCAGTCACAACCATACTCGCAGAGGCGGGATTGCGCTACCTCCTACACAACCAACAACCTACGAGAAGATCTACAAGAAATCAGACCTTACCTCCGGGCAAGCACTCTAATGGCACTAGAAGGCATATTGCGGCTGAATGAAGCCAACGAGGCTAATGCAGCCAACCCAGCTTTCCGCCGGAACACAATAAGACGGGTTTCAACATCCGAGGATGGCGATCACGTACCAGTCATAATGGACCCATATGACGATACAAATTATTCCAGTCCCACAAGCTTCAAGTTCGACGACGAGAGCATCATGGACGGACCTCTCAGCCCTGCAATGGGCAAATACCCAGACCGAAACTACCGCAGGAGTAATCTCCGGGATGCGCATTCGATGAGCGACGAACCTTTTGATGAGCCACCGACCGTTTACGACATCGAACGACAAAGAGGAGCGCCTAAGGCGCCCTCTCCATACCCATCCACTGCGAAGACAGCGATCATAATGCTCTCGTTGTACATCTCCATCTTCCTTGTCGCTCTTGACCGAACCATCATTGGTCCAGCGATCCCTGCCATCACGAACGAGTTTAGCAGCATTGGCGATATCGGATGGTACGGTAGCGCATACATGCTCACAGCAGCCGGCTTCATCCTGTTGTACGGTCGCATATACACCTTCTTTCCCACCAAACCAGTCTTCCTATCCGGCATATTCTTATTCGAACTCGGAAGCATCATTTGTGGTGCTGCGCGGAACAGTAACATGCTCATCGTCGGGCGTGCGGTCGCAGGCCTGGGTAGTAGCGGCATCTTCACCGGCGCGATCCTGATCATGTTCAACACTGTGCCGCTGGCTAAGCGACCCATGCTGCAGGGTCTCTTCGGCGCGTGCTTTGGCGTCGCAAGTGTGGCCGGTCCCTTACTAGGCGGTGCGTTCACTAGCAGCAGCGCAACCTGGAGGTCAGTAACACAGTTAACAAATCATATATGAGATGCATGCTAACATGATCCAGATGGTGCTTCTACATCAACCTGCCGCTTGGTGGTTTCACCCTCCTTGTAGTGTGCTTGCTGCTGAAGCTTGATGAAAAGAAGCCGCAACTCAAATCGTGGGGAGAGACGATACGACAACTTGATCCCTTGGGAACCGCATTGTTCCTTCCATCGATTACATGTCTCTTGCTAGCGCTAGAGTGGGGCGCCGCCGACTACCCTTGGACCTCACCGCGGATGGTCATACTTCTTGTCGCCTTCGCAATGCTGCTGATAGCGTTCGTGCTGTGGCAGTATGTCACCAGGCATACTACCGCGACTTTGCCCGCACGCATCATCTTCCAGCGGAGCGTAACGTTCGGTAGCGCATCCCAGTTCTGTGTGGGCGCGACCATGCTCACAGTCTCCATCTACGTTCCTCTCTGGTTCCAGGCCATCAAAGGTGCATCTGCGATGCAATCCGGCATCAACACCATTCCGCTCGTTCTTTCGGTTGTCTTCGGCTCGATCTTGTCTGGAGCTCTGGTACAGCGCATTGGATACTACACTCCTTTCATGATCCTTGGCTCAGGCATGATGGCTATCGGAGCTGGTCTCATTACCACTTGGGAGATGACCACCGATAACGCTATGTGGATTGGAACGCAGATCGTTGTGGGTTTCGGCGTTGGCTGCACCATGCAACATCCCAACATCGCCGTGCAAACGATACTGCCCAAGGAGGATGTTCCAACCGGCACGGCAGTGCTTTCGCTGTTCCAAACACTCGGTGGCGCAGTCTTCACAGCCGTCGGCCAGAATTTGTACATACACAAGTTCTCGTCTGGTCTGGAGCAAATCGGAGGCCTGGACCCTCAAAAGATCCTAGACGCAGGGGCCACCAACCTGACAGGTGGTGTAACTCCAGCCATCAAGGCCCTGATACTGGCAGCTTACAACGACTCGCTGACACATGGGACGTTCTTTGCGGCACTCGTCATAGCCTGCCTTGCGATACCAGCTGCTGTAGGCATGGAGTGGCGAAGCGTCAAAGCAAAGCCAGACACGTCCGTACAGCGACACGATGAGAAGCGGGATCAAAAGCCACAGCAGCCCCGTGGTATCCTGAAAGCTCCAGCCAATGGTGCGGGTCGGCAAGAAGGGAACCAGCCGGCGGTGGCGGAGCCCGCGCCAGCTTTGAAGAAGATGTTCCGCCAAAGTGGTCAGTTTGCTTCGTATTTGACAGCCACCATTAACCCCGACCTCCGTGATCAACTGGGCCCGGGGAAGCAAGTTCGCAGGTGACGAAGCTGGCTCTTCTTTCCCGGAATTAGATTTATGGATGAATGCGAGGTCGTTTAGCGTGTAATGATGATAGGGCGGATACCATATCGCATCGTATCTCTGCCATTAATGCATAATGTATTAGCCATTAGTTCTACATTCCCGTCGTTGTTTGCCTGAAGCTTGTCTTTGGCGCTGCTTCCAAGCGTTCCACGTGTTGTGAGGGGCGAAAATGCGCAAGCTTGCAAGACGTTCCTTGATTTTCGCAAGGTAGCAGACTTCGGGGCCTTTCCGATTCGCAGCTCACCAAAAGGGTAATGCGTAAGCGAAGCCACCAAGCCATGTCGCTG